TTAGCCATCTTGCTAACTTTGAAGTTATCTTGTTGGCTAATTGCAGCTGCACACAAGTCACCCCAATACCACCAACCATGCCAGTTATCTACAGTTTTTTGTTACAGATAATTTTTTTATTCTTTATGATTCCATGTTGAGGTAACTTAGAGGTCTTAGATGTATTTTCATATGGGGAATTTAAGCATACTTTAACAATTTGGAATGATGGTGTTCCTTTCAACTTTGTCGAGATGTTCATTCTGCATTTAATGTATCTAAAAAATGTTTTACACAGTATGTTACACAGTTTATACCCTTTGAATAGTTTTTGGCATCTTCACAATGAGAAATATCTCCAAATAAGACCATGTTTGAAATTATTGCACACATCCATAACAAACACATGGCAAAGGCAATGATTTGTTGTATGTTCTCTGATGCCACCTGCTGTACCAAGACAAAATAACAATTCCAGGCACCATTACTTCCTCTACATCTTCCTTTAAAATTTAGTAAAATTTTACCTACTGAACTTTGACAGGGGCTCAGTTTCATATCATCAATTTCAGTAGAAACTGAAACAGTAAAGCATGATTTGTTGCAATTAGCTGTAAAGCTGAATTCATGACAACTGGAAAGCTTAAAACTTTCCAACTTGGAATCTCCTACTTCCTACCTAAATGTGTTCATGCAGCTTCAGCTGTTTGAAGAAAAAAAATCATTGCTGTAAGTAAGTAAGTTGGTGCTTGTTTGGCAGATGTGTGCATAAATACCTCTTAAAGCACATACCTTAGACATGAAGCACCACATGGCCCTGGCTTGTAACTCACACTCACTCAAGTTTATCAGGCTGGAAGTTCTCCACAAGGGGGAGCTATTAACCAGTAGCTTTTTGTGTGCATCATTTGAATGGAAAAACTTGAAAATAAAGAACAGTTACAGCTGCAGCTACGATAGGAGGAACATTCGTTTGATCATCTAGGTTGGGGATGACGACAGCCAAGAAAGTAGGGGAGCTATGGAAGAGTGGAACAGTGACTAGGCCACTGTGTTAGAGCGCCGAATAACAGAATCACCCTCCCAGTTGGTAAAACCGCTAAAGCTAGTTTCATTTAATACAAGTGACCTTAACTCAGTGTAGCCTTTTTGATCTGTACTTAATAGGGTCCTAGCAGACTAATGCATAAAACCACTTTGCAGCATACTGCATTATACTGTTTTGCTTTGATACATGCTTATCATGGCCTCTGAGTCAATTGCAACTCACTAAAACCAAGCAGGAGCCCCAAACACTAGTCATTTAAGCATTCACTTATTATATACATAATAAGTACATACATGATCAGCACAAACACACTTTAATACAGATGACACCAACAGAATCATAGAGGCAGAAGGAGCATTCATAGACAATACATACATTCTCAAAAAAGGAAAATATATGCTGCCAGTGTTTGCAGCTGAATAACAGTTACTGTACATGAAAATTGTAGTATAGTTCATTTTCCCAAAAGCTACAGTTCTTAAGAGCTGACCCCAGTTACGGTTCTTCCCTGAGGAACTCCCTATAACCAGTATGAATCAGTCAGACACGGCTATTTTCTGCTTTCCAACCAGTCCTGTTGAGAAAAATGACTAAGAAGACGACGATTCTACGGCAGAACTACCTACCAACATGAAGATACACAACGCATTACTATCTTCGCAGAGTATTGCTAACATACTGGATGATACGAACGTTTAATCATATGCTGTGGACTTTCAATGAGGGTCTATGCATTTACCACACTTTACAGCAACAACGCAGATCGATGGTTGAGTAAATTTGGTGAAATGAAGACCGTATCAAATAGTTAACCATTTACTCCAGACACTGACCAATGTGGAACCCATTAAGTCTCTTTTGTGCTCTTTTCTTCATCAAAACAAAGATACATTTTCCTCAAATGACCAGTCTCCTTCCAAAATCAGACCTTCTTCAGAAGGGTGGAAGATCCATCATGGCTGCACAGATCAGCACAGATAAAAGACTGAAGCTAAGCAGAAGTTGCTTCCAGCTGTGTTCCCAAAACTTGAATAGATCACTTGGTTTAAAGATAGAGTGCTGATCTAGCATCAGTTCTCTAGAGTCCACATAATTAAATGGGTTTCATTATGTTTGTCATGGGCTTGGTATAAATTATTGGGGTGTGTGGTTACAGAGGTTTGTAAGGGGGTTGGTATAAAATTTAGGGATGTGGGGTTAATGAAGTTTGTAATTGGATTGGTATAAATTATTGGGGTGTGTGGTTAATAAGGTTTATAATTGGGTTGGTATAAATGTTTGGGGTGTGTGGTTAATGAAGTTTAATGGGGTTGGTATAAATTTTTGGGGTGTGTGGTTAATGAGGTTTATAAGGGGGTTGGTATAAATTTTTGGGGTGTGTGGTTAATGAGGTTTATAAGGGGGTTGATATAAATTTTTGGGGTGTGTGGTTAATGAGGTTTGAAATGGGGTTGGTATAAATTTTTGGGTTGTGTGTGGTTAATGAAGTTTGTAATGGGCTTGGTATAATTTTTGGGGTGTGTGGTTGATGAAGTTTGTAATGGGCTTGGTATAATTTTTGGGGTGTGTGGTTGATGAAGTTTGTAATGGGCTTGGTATAATTTTTGGGGTGTGTGGTTGATGAAGTTTGTAATGGGCTTGGTATAATTTTTGGGGTGTGGAGTTAAAGAGGTTTATAATTGGATTGGTATAATGTTTGGGGTGTGTGGTTAATGAGGTTTGTAAGGGGATTGGTATAATTTTTGGGGTGTGGAGTTAAAGAGGTTTATAATTGGATTGGTATAATGTTTGGGGTGTGTGGTTAATGAGGTTTATAAGGGGGTTGGTACACATTTTTGGGGTGTGGGGTTAACGAGGTTTATAAGGGGGTTGGTATAAATTTTTGGGGTGTGTGGTTAATGAGGTTTATAAGGGGGTTGGTATACATTTTTGGGGTGTGGGGTTAATGAGGTTTGTAATGGGGTTGGCATAATGTTTGGGGTGTGTGGTTAATGAGGTTTATAAGGGGGTTGGTATAAATTTTTGGGGTGTGTGGTTAATGAGGTTTATAAGGGGGTTGCTATAAATTTTTGGGGTGTGTGGTTAATGAGATTTATAAGGGGGTTGGTACACATTTTTGGGGTGTGGGGTTAATGAGGTTTATAAGGGGGTTGGTATACATTTTTGGGGTGTGGGGTTAATGAGGTTTATAAGGGGGTTGGTATAAATTTTTGGGGTGTGGGGTTAATGAGGTTTATAAGGGGGTTGGTATAAATTTTTGGGGTGTGTGGTTAATGAGGTTTATAAGGGGGTTGGTACACATTTTTGGGGTGTGTGGTTAATGAGGTTTGTAATGGGCTTGGTATAATTTTTGGGGTGTGGAGTTAAAGAGGTTTGTAATGGGGTTGGTATAAATTTTTGGGGTGTGGGTTTAATGAGGTTTGTAATGGGGTTGGTATAAATTTTTGGGGTGTGGGGTTAATGAAGTTTGTAATGGGGTTGGTATAAATTTTTGGGGTGTGGTGTTAATGAAGTTTTTAATGGGGTCGGTATAATTTTTGGGGTGTGTGTTTAATGAGGTTTGTAATGGGGTTGGTATAAATTTTTGGGGTGTGGGGTTAATGAAGTTTGTAATGGGCTTGGTATAATTTTTGGGGTGTGGAGTTAAAGAGGTTTGTAATGGGCTTGGTATAATTTTTGGGGTGTGGAGTTAAAGAGGTTTGTAATGGGCTTGGTATAATTTTTGGGGTGTGGGGTTAATGAAGTTTGTAATGGGGTTGGTATAATTTTTGGGGTGTGGGGTTAATGAAGTTTGTAATGGGGTTGGTATAAATTTTTGGGGTGTGGGGTTAATGAGGTTTGTAATGGGGTTGGCATAATGTTTGGGGTGTGTGGTTAATGAGGTTTATAAGGGGGTTGGTATAAATTTTTGGGGTGTGTGGTTAATGAGGTTTATAAGGGGGTTGCTATAAATTTTTGGGGTGTGTGGTTAATGAGATTTATAAGGGGGTTGGTACACATTTTTGGGGTGTGGGGTTAATGAGGTTTATAAGGGGGTTGGTATACATTTTTGGGGTGTGGGGTTTAATGAGGTTTATAAGGGGGTTGGTATAAATTTTTGGGGTGTGGGGTTAATGAGGTTTATAAGGGGGTTGGTATAAATTTTTGGGGTGTGTGGTTAATGAGGTTTATAAGGGGGTTGGTACACATTTTTGGGGTGTGTGGTTAATGAGGTTTGTAATGGGCTTGGTATAATTTTTGGGGTGTGGGGTTAAAGAGGTTTGTAATGGGGTTGGTATAAATTTTTGGGGTGTGGGTTTAATGAGGTTTGTAATGGGGTTGGTATAAATTTTTGGGGTGTGGGGTTAATGAAGTTTGTAATGGGGTTGGTATAAATTTTTGGGGTGTGGTGTTAATGAAGTTTTTAATGGGGTCGGTATAATTTTTGGGGTGTGTGTGTTTAATGAGGTTTGTAATGGGGTTGGTATAATTTTTTGGGGTGTGGGTTAAGAGGTTTGTAATGGGCTTGGTATAATTTTTGGGGTGTGGAGTTAAAGAGGTTTGTAATGGGCTTGGTATAATTTTTGGGGTGTGGGGTTAATGAAGTTTGTAATGGGGTTGGTATAATTTTTGGGGTGTGGGGTTAATGAGGTTTGTAATGGGGTTGGTATAATTTTTGGGGTGTGTGGTTAATGAGGTTTGTAATGGGGTTGGTATAATTTTTGGGGTGTGGGGTTAATGAAGTTTTTAATGGGGTCGGTATAATTTTTGGGGTGTGTGTTTAATGAGGTTTGTAATGGGGTTGGTATAATTTTTGGGGTGTGTGGTTAAAGAGGTTTCTAATGGGGTTGGTATAATTTTTGGGGTGTGGGGTTAATGAAGTTTGTAATGGGGTTGGTATAAATTTTTGGGGTGTGGGGTTAATGAAGTTTTTAATGGGGTCGGTATAATTTTTGGGGTGTGTGTTTAATGTGGTTTGTAATGGGGTTGGTGTAATTTTTGGGGTGTGTGTGTTTAATGAAGTTTGTAATGGGGTTGGTATAAATCTTTGGGGTATGTGGTCAAGGATGGTTGTAATGGGGATTATAATACATTTTTGGGGTGTGTCATTAAGCAAGACCGTGGTGGGGTGGGTGTAAATATCAGGTGTGCATAGTAAGGATGGGTTAATGGGTATTGGTGTAAATTTTTGGTGGGTGTATGTCTGTGTGTGTTTAAGAAGCCGTGCTGAGGTACATCTTCAGGGCCGGAGTGAAGATGAGGATGGTGCCGAGCACAGATACAGTGAGGAAGGCCCACAGGAAGATCCGGTCTAACACTTGAGCCACAAACTTCCAGTCTTGGACCACCTGAAGATACACATACATATATATTATATATGAATATCACAGAAAATGTTTCATTAGATTTCATCTAATGGGTTGTATACACTACAGGCTTTTCTAACAAACAGAGATCGCAGCTGTAATGAACTGAGATGGTCTATTACTTATTGTAACTTTAAACAACATGTGCAGAAGCTGACTAGGTTTAATTAAAGCAATAAATTTAAATCAGTTTAGCAAAAAATGTTGTGTATACAATTTTCCCCCTCACTTCATATGTAGTCATTCAGCCAGACCCGTCTTGATGGATGCAAGTAGAAGGGATTAGACTGAGGAACAGGGAGGAGCTGGAGAGGTGGTGGAGTGCAAACAGTTCACCAAGGGAAATAGAGGGTAGAGATGAGGAGTTTATAGGACATTAAATATGTAGGAGGAGATTCAGGCATGGTCCTCCCCCTTCAGCTATTTCTTAACTTCATTTGGTTGATCACTGAAGCAATGAAGCTAATGAAGCTAAAGGTAATGGAAGTGTATACCCCACCAATTAGTATTGCACAGACTGCATTGTACATCATCACACACACTCAAACAGACTTGCTTGTGTAGTTTCTGATACTGTATGACATACTGTTATCTATTAAAACGGACAAAAGTGCAGGACATAGCTAAAACAGTAGTAATGGCCACCTTGAAGTCTGAATTTTGTCTGTCAATAACTTTTTATAGATAACATTGGCATTAAGAACAGTATGAGCCAAAAATGCCCACCTTAAACTGCCCATATCATAGAGTTTTCCTCACTTTTTTAAGATAAAAAAATATGTAGTATGTAAACATTGTTTAATTTCCAAAATGTGCTGTTCATCCCCAGTTTGTAGTCCATGTATATAAACTAAGCTGTAAAAATAGCCCGTTTTAAATTCACTGTTTTCGTGATGTCATGAAAACCAGCACTGTTCAGACTACAGATTAGCTCTGATTACTCTGGAGATATAAGGAGTATTTCAGTCCAGACTGGTCTTTGAATGAGCCACAATACAGAGCAGCCAATCAGGATAGAGGCAATACAGATACATCAGCCTTAAACCCACAGTAACAAAATTCTAAGAGATAAATATAGATTGAAAAACATAAAAAGGAAAAGGAGTTATGAAGGTTTTGATACATAATCCACATTATAAGTGAACATTACAAGTGGGAAATATATAATACAAGAAAAAAGTAAGATATTTGCTCTTTAAAGTTAGGGGAAAAAAGTTCAAACAGAATACAGAACATAGGCTTTCATTACTTGTTAGCTACATTAGCCTTGCAGCTCAAGAACAAGAAGCAAACTTCAGACAGCAAGCATGTCTTGGCTGATTGACTACATTTGGGAGATTTTGGCAGAACTTTCGCTTTAACAGAGCCAGAAGCTGAGCGGAGCTTTATGACAGGCAGTGGTAGCTACCTCTCTGATGAAGTGCTCTTTCCTAATGTGTCTGGATATGTAGCGCACAGAGCTGGTGGCTTTCTCCAGCATGGACAGCCAGGCCTGGTTTTCATCCTCCTTCCCCCCGACCCCTCCTGCACTCCTCTGCTGCCCTCTCTTCATCCCTCGTTTCAGCTCGGGACTGCGCAGCTCCATGTCCGGGTATCTGTAGCGGTCAGTGTGGCCATGCATGCACAGCAGCCTGGGCAGCTTCTGCAGGAAAAGGCTCTTCACCCACGGTGCCATGGGGTGGTAGGTGGCCGAGGAGCGGTGGTGCACGTTGATGACGAAGACGGTGACGATGATGGAGAAGGTGACGAAGATCATGATGAAGAGCAGGTACTCGCCAATCAGTGGGATGACCTTCGGTTGGGCGATATGATCTCAAATTTATATCATGATATTTTACACTATCCACAAAATTACAATCAGTTTTGAAGAGGATCATGTTTGATTTGTCTTGGGGTCAGAGCTGTTTTTGGACTCAACACAGTACAATAATAGTATTTGCTTTTAGGGCCCAGTCAGATTAGCTTTGACAGTGGAATCTATTTTTACCTAAATGGAAATCATTAGAATTAAGTGTTAGTCTTCCGGTAGCAATAAAATTTCATGTAAAAAACTTTGCTTTCATATTTGGTGAACTTGACATACGGACCAGGATTGCTCAGTGATAGACCTCCTAAGTCATGGTATCATTCTGTAGTCAGAGTTTTGCCCATATTAGGAAGTCCTGGTCTAAGCTGGTTTTCTCTATAGGAAAAATGAATGCCATTTTCAAAAGTCCCTGCTATCCCAACTTATGGTGAACAAAAATGTTCAAGTGCCAGTACTTTTTGTCATATGTACATTTTAAAGTGTACACATATTGCTACATGCAAGCTACCACTACCATATTGCTACATTCAAGCTACCACTACTGCACGTTGAACTAATGTCAAAAATCTTGCCAAAATACCTCCCACACACTAGCAAGCTTAGTCAAATGTGGTAGTGAAGTTGCTTTGGCAGCAGTGGGCTACATTTTGAGTCATTAATGTTGGTATATAACAGTGTTGAAGTTAGTAGTTGACTTACTTTCACACGATGCCGTTCAGTGAGCAAGAGTGTTAGCATGTAGCATACATGTAGCTTTATTTGTAGATCCAGAGATCCTAAAATGGGAATGAAGCTGACTACAGAATGACACAAGACTTCAGAGGTCTATAGCACAACTGCTTTGAAGGCATTGAGCTCTGAAGAGTCCTTTGTACAACAGCACTGAAGATCCAAAATGGAGCAAGTGCTAATATTAGCAGTGTCTGCGTTTTTCCAACCCAGCTATGAATGAATACATAAAAAAAAGAGTGGTGGTACGCAAGCAGTCAGGGGCTGGATCAGATGGTGTAACTATGTTTACTTTTTACAGTTTACTTCTACTTTTTTTATTTTTTTTCATTGTTTATATCTGTTGAGTCAGCTAGCTTGCTGAACTAACAGTACTAGAGACATTCCCAAAGCCAGTTCACTGGATGAAATATGAATGGGATAACTCAAAGCTCATGGTGGTTGTATTATGGGGAGGCCTGCCTAGTAGTGGGCAGTATACTGGATCATCAGGTACGTGTATAACTGTTATACTGGTATGCCACAAAGTAGCGCAGATAGCCTGTATAGCTGAATGGCTGAGTCAGGAAATGCTTTCTGAAGTAGACCACTTTGCAAGGCAGCGGACATAAAATAATTACCTGTCTTCAGGGGATACCCTTAGTCTAACATGGGCACTAGACCAAAAAGTTGTGGTCTCAGGGCCTTGTGTGCAACAAGCTGTGGACCAGCTGTGGAACTGTGAATGACCATAATACTTGCAGTGTCTGATGATTAAGATTTAAACATCTAAAACGATTTTATTAAAAAACATTGATAAAGATGGGACGGAGAAAAAGCCCCCCTGATCTGTGCGTGCGTCCCGGCTGGAACAACCTATATCTTAAGGAAATCTGCAAATTTCTACTGTAGATATGTCTTTCTATCAATAGACATTCCAACTTTACCTTGGAGGAGGATGGGATGATCTCTTCAATGACAAGCAGGAACACCGTGAGTGAGACCAGGACAGAGGTGGAGAGAGAGAGCTTCTCGCCTTCGTCCGACGGCAGGTAGAAGACCAGTACGGTGAGGAAGGACAGTCCGAGGCAGGGTATAATAAGGAAGAGCGTGTAGAAGAGAGGAAGGCGCTTCATAATGAAGGAGTAGGTGATAAAGGGGTAGGAGTAGATGCCGTCTCGCCGGCTGCCCCGCCGTCCAGTGGCGTCCAGGATCTCCCACTCGCCGTTGTCGAAAAAGTCCTTTCGATCCACGTGGGGGTCAACCAGGGCCAGGTCCACCATGGTGCCATCGTAGGTCCACGAGCCGAACTTCATGGAGCAGTTCTGCCGGTCGAAGGGAAAGAAGGTCACGTCCATGGTGCAAGAGGACTTGTAGCTGGCCGGAGGCGTCCACGTGATGGTGCCGTCATACCTCACGATGGCTTTGGTCATCAGAGAACCCTCAAAACGACCGTCGGCACTGAGAGAAAAGGAGACATACACTGCTGGTCAAAAGTTTGGTGTATGTCTGTCTGTGAATTGTTTGCATTGTCCCACAGTCACTTTTCAGGGAGGTTATATATAATCCACTTGTATGTTAAGTTACTGCAAACCTATAAAGAACGATGCACCGATACCACTTTTTCCCTTCCGATACCTTATCCTTAAATATCAGCTGATAGAGTACCGATACTGATACTGGTCTTCCTATAAGTCTTGATATTTATACAATTATATTATTTTATCTTGGTTCAATCTATGTTCTGTGTCTCAAATAAAACACACTCAGCTTGACTGAATGGCATTTACTTGTTGGATTATATATATTAGATGCTTAAGAAAACGAATTTTTGCTTAGTATCATACAATTAGTTTTTACTATTATATAATTAGTAATAAGAACTATATTTAACAACGAAAGTCATTTTTTGTAATTGTGCAAAACAGTTAGAAATAGAACTGAACAATATGTAGTTAAACCCATTGTTGCTATAAGTAATTTGTCTCATACATGTGTCCTGTTAACTCTGCTGGACACTGTCAGCAGCACTGAATTTCAGCATTTTTTATGGCTTGGTTGAAGCAATGGGCCGCAAGACCCTGCTGCTGCGTTATACAGCTGACCGAAAGAGGCGCACCGCAGGAGAGCGACTGGACACACTGGCTAACGGACTGCTATACTAAAGACTAAATTAGGGCTAGAGGCTATCGTTGCATTGAGAGATGAGCATTTCCTTCCATATTGTGTCTCTTTATGGTATCAGTCACGGGTGTCAGTATCCCCATCGCTGATACCGATACTGTACCAGTATCAGCTATGGTATCAGATACTGCACGAATACCAGTGCAGCAGCAAAGTAAACATGCTCATTTGCATCAAAACATCAACATGTTTTGAGCCTGTAAACATGCTTAGCTATGGAATCTATTACACAAGTTTCTGCTTCTCATACAGAGAATGTGCCTTGTAGGGCTTTATGGACATGCAGCGTTGTGGATGTGGGTCATACTTCTCATAGAGGACGATGTCAGGCAGCCAGATGTTCTCTGAGGGCACTCTTATGGACGTAATTCCCCCATAATCCTCCGGGTCCCAGCGCAGCTTATAGTCCGTCCACTCCTACAGAGAGAGAGAGAGAGAGACATAGAGAGAGAGAGGGAGAATTAAGGGAACATATGGGACATCTCACATTTGCATGTCTTCTGAAGCTCAAAAATGTTCATGTTAACAGAGTAATGTACATTATGAACATATGTAAATCACATACAGGAGTGAACAGTGAACAGCTGGAGTGCAAAGCCAGTTCCAAAAAAGTTCCAAAAAAGTTGGGACCTTATGTGACATGTAAATAAAAAAAGGATTGATTTATAAATCCTGTATTTGAATGAAAACAGTACAAAGACAAGATATTTCGTGTTTTATCTTATCAACTATTTTTTTGTAAACATACGCGAATTCTGAAATTAATGCCTGAAACATGTTCTAAAAAAGTTGGAATGGGGCAATTTAACACTGGGAACATTGGGAATTGCTAAAAAACAGATGATGCAATTATGCTTGAATATAAAAGAAGCATCTAAGAAAGTCCTAATCCTTTAAGAGCAAGGTTGGGTCTGGACACGCCACTTTGCCAAAACATACATTAGCAAAATATCCAACAATTTAAGAGTGTTTGCAAGGATTTTAGGTATTTCACCCTCTACAGTGCATAATATCATCCAAAGAAAAATGAAAACCACAACTGAATGTCACTACATGGGCTTGGGAATAGTTTGACAAACCATTGTCAATAAACATCATCCAATGTTGCATCCACAAATGCAAGGCTACCATGCATAGTGGAAGTCACATGTTGACAACTTCCAGAAACACTGCCATCTTCTGTGGGCCCGATCTCATCTAAAATGGATTGATGCACAGCAGAAAAGTGTACTGGTGGTCTGATGAGTCAACCTTTCAGATTGTTTATGGAAATGATTGCGGTTTTGTGCCCCAAGCCAAAGAAGAAAAGGACCATCCAGACTGTTACCAGCATAAAGTTCAAAATCCAGCACGGGTCATGGTATTTGGGGAGTATTAGTGGGTAACTTGCACACACTAAACACATTTTGGGAGCAACATTTCACTTTTATAAACTGGATCTGTGTGTTGGCATCTTCAGTCCTCAAATGATTATTAAGGGCTGTTTAAAGTAAAGGTGATGTAACACACTGGTAAACATGCTCCTGTCTTAACTTCCTTGGAACGTGTCATAGGCATCATGAGTGCACATTTACAAAAAACAATGACATTCATAAGGTAAAACATGAAAAACTGTGCTGTTTTCTATTCAATACATGTCCAACAGAACTTACTAATCACTACTTTCTGTTTTTATTAGCATTTTGAAAACAGTCCCAAATCTTTTCGAACAGGGTTTGCAGTTAAACGAGAGTTGGGAAGGTATATAGATGTTAATACAGGATATGGAGATTCTGGAATCAGTTTCTTTGTCTCCTTGGAGATCCTGCTGAGCCAGCAGTGAAGGCTGGAATAAGATCGAGCAGGAGTCTCTGTAGTCTCTGTGATTGGCATAGCAACAGCCAAGCTGACACAGGAGCTTCTAGAACTGTCAGTCAGGCATGGCAGAGAACAGACAGAGAATCAAGGCAAGTTTGGAGATGTATAACATCATCTGGAGTTGGTGACTTGTTTTTGGTCGAAGGCATCATGAACTCTGATAAGTACTCATTTTAGTACCTCGTGCAGTGCCCTCTGAAAAACATCTGACTGGGAAGAAATTCCTTCAACAGCAAGATAACGACCTCAGTACATTAAGATGTACTTATCAAACAAAGAAGACGCACTGACCACCCCAGAGTCCAGACCTCAGCATATTCAAATGTGGAATTACTTGTAGTGTGAAAAGCAGAAAATGCAAGCACCTTCTAAGACTGAACTTTGGAGGCGTGAAAAAAAATCCCTGCAGATTTCTTTGAAAAACTCAAAGCCAGGCTTGTGAAAAAAATAGAAACTGTAAACAATAAAAACTATTAATTCATCATCTTCATCTTTAACCCTTAGTCCAGATAGCAGTCGGAAGAGCAGAGAATCCCAGACGACCCTGCCCTCCACAACTTCCTCTATCTCATTCCCCCGACCCCGAGCCGCTCCCAGGCCAACTTGGAGATATAATTCCTCAGGCAGGTCCTAGGACGATCTTGGGGTCTCATCCCAGTAGGCCGTGCCTGGCAAACCCCCACCGGGAGGCATCCAGGGGGCATCCTGATCAGATGCCCGAACCACCTCAACTAGCTTCTCTTAATCAACAAAAACTAAATCATGAAAATGTTGATGTTATATTTAGATGATTTTTTGTTAAATAAATGTTTTCTGCTTTTTTGCTGATGCTGAAAAATGAATCTCTTGTAATTAATGGCTGTGTTGACTGGAGCTTAAATGAATGAAAGGGGGGTCTCGAACTTCTGTTACATTTTTAATACAGATTGTATTTTTAACCCTGACCGTATATATTATATTATATATACGTATATGTATACCACTTAAATCTTTACCTGCCACAGCCAGACATTAGTAGTCATCAGCTGGTTCTTTTCATCCTAGAGAGAGAGAGAGAGAGAGAGAGAGAGAGAGAGAGAGAGAGAGAGAGAGAGAGAGAGACAGAGAGGGAGAGAGAGAGAGAGAGATAAGTTTACGCATAACAATACAAATTTCAGATAAAAAAAAACTAGATGAGATAAAAAGAAGTTAATTAATTTAATTAAACCTTTGATAAAAACTGGCTCCTTTTGATTTGCAAATTAGTATTAAAATTCTTTCAAAGTTGTCCATAAATCAAACCTACTGAGCTAAAAAAAAACACATCTGAAAAGCTTACTGTCTTCGGCCTGACGTTGCTGTATAAATACCACATGCTTTGATATTAAATTCGTCTTCTCACTTTATTTAAGTACGAACACTGCGTCTCTGCTTTGTTCAGTTATTTGCGGCTCTGAATAAACTGTCTGGATCCAGACGGTCGGATAGAGACACGTCAGTAAGATTAGACTGGAGAGGAAATCAATGTCAGTGACACTCCAGCGCAACGACAAGGTGAAGATGTTCACTGGTATTTACACGCAGTGACCACCAGAGGACGCCAAAGAACCATACAAGATAGTAGGGTTCTGCAAAATGACATCCAAAGCCTCGTTTATTAAGTAAAATTCATAGATTTAGGTTACACAATTTATAATCAGCTGTTGCTCCTCAACCAATGAGTTGTGGCTTCAAAATATATTCAAAAGACATTTCCAGTTTATATCAATTTTACTGCAGTATTGAGCATTTAGAAAGTGTTCAAGTCATTATACAGCACTGTAATCTCATAGTACTGGTACTGAATTGAAATGATTCTACTACAAAGTATACACTAATACACTATCTGTATCTGATTACATTCCCAATCGGAACGTGTAAGTACGTTCTGCGCATGTGCGTCAACGTTCAACATGGCGGAGCAGAAACTGGTCTACAGAGGAGTTGAAGTTTACGCTCTGATCTTTAAAAGACGGCGGGGGGACGGACGTCCAGCTTATGTGTCTCAGAACACGATGTCTTCCTCTCGGCCTTCTTTAAAGAGTACATGTGAGGTACATTTGAGACAGACATTAACAAATCTCACTCTGACTGGGCCTGACGTGATGTTCGCTGTCATGGTAACGTTTACTCTAAGCGGTACTCCACGTATGCGCGTCATTTTGGGTCGGATTACTTGTAGTGCGCATGTAAACGAAGATTTTCTATCAGATTGTTTAATAGAGTGAATATAAACACCTCAGTCTGAATCTGTAATCGGAATGTATTCAATCGGTTTGGCAAAAATCTTTGCATGTAAACACAGCCACTGAGTCATTACTGCAACGCTGTTCTCGCAATCAAATAACAAACCTATCATTATAGAAAACCTTCAGTCTGAACGACAGAACGAGGCGCTACGTTCAGTAAATGCAGTGTTTAAAGGAAAGATGCAAAACAACTTTGGCTAGCATATAATTTGCATAGCAAGCTTGCTAGCAAGTGCAATAGCTAATGTAGCTTACTAAGAAACTTACTCAAACTTTCCAAAACTTCAGCTGGATTAGACAGCATATTTGCTGTCCAAACTACAGGCTAACCAACCATTTCATGTTGATTCTTTCCTTTAAACACTGCATTTACTGTCTGTTTAGTTCCTTCAGACTGACGGCTTTTCTATAATGAAAGGATCTTTATTGAAATCCATGTTGAACAATCAGAGCCACCTGTATTTCAAATCTAATCACGGAAATACAGACTGAACTGGTCAACTGTAAGACAAAACACGCTCATGGTTAAATCATGGTGATCATGGCTAACCTTCAGCATGAGAAAAACATGTTATAACATAAAAAAAAACTTTTATGTAGAGAACCAATGAGAAATAAGAGAAATGAACAAAGTACAGAGCCTGAGATATTCTGCTGTTCTTTTTGTTTGAAAAGTGTAATAATTAAGAACTGACAATCATATCAGTCAGTAAAGCAGAGCTCAACTAAAACTTTACAGTATAAAATTCACATATTAAAAATATACATGTTAAATAATCAGCCGATATGACCTGTTTTTGGATTTCTTTTCCAGTTAATATTGGTATCAGTATCAGCCACAAAATGTTCATATCGCTCAGGCCCTAATACAGCACTGATAAATACTGAATGAGTGTTCAGTCTGATTGAAGCCGTAATGGAGGCAGACGCGTTCTGAGCTACTGAGTAAGGTTAACATTCTGTAATTTATACATCTTAATTCAAGTACACCAATCTTTATAACACCTCTAAGTCAGACTGTCCGGATTATTTCAGAAAATCTTCTTCGGCTCAGGTGTGCCTTTGCCTGGTTATTTGTTAGTATGTATTTATCTCTCTGTCTGTGATGTCTGTGTTGATGGCCTTCTCAGTGGACGATGACCACAGCAAATTAGACCTTTCGGTGCTCGCTGGTCTGGGCCAAATCAATATTTCATAATGATATGATGAAACATTTACAGTCCATCTGTAAGAGGATGGAACCTTGTGTTGGTTCAGCACAGACAAACTTACTGCAGACTCAGTCAGAAAGAGTGAGAAAACAGGGCCTGTGAATGACAACAAAAGCAATAATAATTACTGAAATCAAACATTTTTGCTATATTGTTAATATGTGTTTTAAGTATTTATCTTAAACTGGTGCCATTCAATCCTACATTAGCAGCAAAGACTTCAACTTTGAACAGTTCAGTACACTAGGTGGATCAGTGTTGAGGGTAATAGTAACAAAAGTAACAGATTACTGTTTAAATTCTTGTATCACATTATAGCATTACAGTTACTGACTTCATAAAAATTATGTTGTGTTGCTCTTTTGTCTCGACCACAGCAATATTAATTATGCGTGATGCATTTACAGCATAGATTTCCTCTATATAGATTATCTGTGACTGGCTTTGTATATAATTTGAGTGTGTGTGCTACCTGCAACATCGGACTGCGAGATTTTAACTGTGAATATGAGCAGCACAAGCATTGTTAAGCACTATCTAATCATCTAATTAGGCTAATATGGAACTGATAGATTAAGAGCCCTGTGCTGAAGAAGAGAGAGATCTCACCTAAACTGACCAGACTGTATCATCAATAAAATCAAAGGTTTTGTATTGAACGTGTTCTGAATTGCTTCTACCGGCTAGTTTTCTAATGATTCAATAGTACATTTCAATAAAGTGTGACTGTGTTGTTCAAAGGCAGGAATAGTGGCAGGACTTTTAAATGATGTTTACTACTATTGGCTATTTCTTTCTGAAGTATTGTTAAATAAAGGACTTCTGAATTTTCTAGAGGTCTTTCAGTTGGTACAGGTGTGTGGGTTTCAGAGAGTAATTTAGAAGCAAAGTAATGAGTAGTGAGATTATTTTTTCCATGAAGTAATAAAAGATCTCATGACAGTTTGAGAGACGTGATTATCCTGCTGACATCAAAACAGATCTAAGATGGTTTATGCTGGTGTGGTGCTGGGTTGACCAGCATACCAGCATCCAAAACACAACATATGCTGGTGTGCCAAGTGCCCGACTCCTGGGCGAGAGGTGGCAGGAAGGCGGTACCCGAACATCACATCCAGATGACAGCTGTGAGTGATGACAGGAGGAGAACAAGGGGCCTTTCCTTCACCTGTCTCAGCCCCTTTGGAAACAAGGAGCCTTCTCTTTGCCTGTCCCGGCTCCTCGGCTGCAGGGGGCTCCTCTTTCCAAGACCCTACCCAGTTCCCTATTCTGTTCTACTGACCTCCCTCCTTATGCTCGTTCTTTCACTAGGGAGGGGGTGTTTTCTCATGCCAGGTCCCTAGGCTGAGTTGGGAGATGGGGGTATGTGCCAGCTGCCTGATCTCTGGGCCCCGAAGACAGCCATGAGGGGCGGTAGGAAGACAGTGCCCGAACCCTTTGCCAAGTGGTGACAGGAGGAGGATGACAGCGGGCGGAGCGACGAGGACAGACAGGAGAGGTATGAGGATGGCGCCTGAGTCCTGAGCCCCGCCTCCTGTTCCGCTGCAAGGCTACTGTACTATGCCTGGCATGTGATCCGGGTGGCCGAGCTGTCCAGCCATGCTGGTCTATGCTGTTTTTTCAGGGTAGTGTTATGTAATGAAACTACCTCAACACTAAAACTACTATGCCAAGGGCTCCAGAGTGCTGCAGCTGTCTGAGCATTTACTCCTACTTTCTGTGGCTGGGAGTCCAGGAGAGAACAATTGGCCACACTCTCTCTGGGTGGGTAGGAAGCGCTCCCTCTCCCTCCATCCCTCAGCATGAAGCTAGCCAACATGAGTGTCTGTTAGCTGAGGTAACAGAATTGGCAGTTAGTGTTCTCCCCAAATGTGCTGAGCTGTCCAATAGCGTTGCGTTAACAACAGCCTTCACCTCCCCCCAGCTTCGTAGCCTGGGGGGGTGACCTAACTATCAGCTGGAACAGGTTGTCTAAAATGGCTGCCCCCTCAGAATTCAGCTACAATGTGAAGATTTGTTCATGTTTGTAGCTCATAGAACACCATTCTGTGCTCTAAACCACATCAACAATTCTACACGAACCTAATGAACAGCTGGATGCAGTTTGAGCAGGCCGAGAGAGGGTTATGAGGACATATTTATGAAAAAGATTTCGGTGACTATTGACTTCTATTGACTTCTTACAAATAAATAAAATTAACAAATTACAAACAAATAAAATTAATACTGATCTGCACTTCCCTAACATATAACAGCAGAGATAACTAGCAAGCTATTGTGTTGATATTATAAAGAGCACAATGTCTTAAAACAAGAGACTGTCTTCTTAGATCAGACACCTTCTGGTTTCTTCATGGTTTAAAATGCTATTCAGGCTTATAATTCATCTTTAAGAAATGCATATAATGTTGGTCATATCACCTGGCCCTACCTGCCCACTCTCAATTCATCATCCATTAAAAAATCAATACAGAACCAAAGCAAGAACTGAACTAGACTTCAAGAGAAGGTCAAATACATTAGAGAATGAATTACATCTCCAGTTGCTCTATTGATGTGCCCAGTGTTACTGCATTAAACTAATCTAGTTCATTCTCAGTGAAGAGCAGGCCGTGATGAACAACAGGCCTCCATTTTCACTGTTTAGGTTAGCTTAGAGGACAACAGCTGACAACATGTACATTCAGACAACCTTATCTACATACTGAGCTCAGCACTTCCAGCTTATTTTACACTGTATTGAATGCTTGATGCTGTGTGTGCATGTGTACGCAAGTGTGGGTGTTAAATCATACACATGGACACAAATGGGCGTTCCCTGCTCCTGCTTCATAAACTATCCTATCCAATTTGCTGCTTTAATGAGCTAGTGCTTGTGTCGGTGTTTAGTGTACTGCATGTTAAAGTGTGTGTGTAAATCTCTGCGTTTACTGCGGTAACAAATTCATTGTGTGTACTTGTTTTCATACATTTCCAGGACAAAAACAATGCTAACCTAAAGGACCAGCAAAATACTCCTGGTTATATTAATACTATCAGTACTGTTGTGGCATCTATTTGATTTGCAAAAAATAATAAAGCCGAAAATGCATCGGCTTATATACATACTTACCAATATATAATAAATAATACATAATAATACATATTCATATATAACAATACACATTTAAGTATCTATATGAAATAATGTGTAAGTATCTATATGTAATACTAATGTGCCCAACATGAATTAGAATGTAATACAAATGGGACATATTAGTATAACATACAGGTACTTAGGCATTTATAATACATTAGATACATACGTCTGACACTATGCCCTGACACTGTATAAGATCAAGTGTGTGAGTGTGTGTGTGTATGTGTGAGAGAGAGAGAGAGAGACTATAGTCATTGTGATTATGCCATCCATCTTGGCCCTTGTTAACTTCCGTATTTCACACTTAATGCACTTACCACACCTCTAAAATCCATTACACACTTCATTTCTCTCCCCTTATCTCTCTCTCTCTCTATTTCTTGCTCTTTAATCCTCCTTTACTGTGTGTATTTCTGTGTGTTTGTGTGTATGTTTGTGTTTGATTGTGTGTTTTGTGTGTGTTTCTTTGTGTATGTGTCTGTATTTGTTTGTGTGTGTGTGTTTGTGTTTGTGTGTGTGGTTCTGGTTCTAGTTCTAGTTCATGTTCCACCTGCTTGATGAAATTGGTATCATTCACTTCTTAACTAATCAGCTTTGTGAACACTTTACAAAGTGATAATTCTAAAATAAGTCAATTTACCATTCTAGCTCATACTCTACATCACTTACTGGTCATTTAACAGCACTTGAATACTTCAACTGGAAGAAATCGCTGTTGGCTTCAGCTGCAAGTGTCACCAAACACAGAAGAGACATTTGAGTATGATTAGATCCCACCAGTATCAGTCCTGGACAGGTACCAAAAACCATAAAACTAGAACCTTCAGTACTGGACCAGTGCCCAGTGGAAAAAGCACAGTTCCAGTCTTCTGGTGCTAAAGGTTCCGGTACTTTGTGCAGAAGAAAAATGACCTCTGTTATTCTAGCCTATAGTTTCTACATCCTGTGTTAAAGCATTAGCTCACTTTTCTGACTCAGAGCTCGACTGAATCATCACATACATGCGGTCTCCATCTAATCCACTCTGCTATCTGAACAAACAAGGTCAGCAGGGTCTGTTCTAACAGACAGGACGGAAATCAACACTTCAGCAAAGCACAGAGCGAGAGCTGTACATTCCTTCAAGGACACAAGGACATCTGGATCTGGTGCAGACCCACCTTCTGATTGGCTGGAAGAAAATGACCAACCTGTATCTGAACTATGTCTGCACGGGTAAATATTAAAGCACAAACCCAACCTGTATCCAGGAGTTTGAGACCTGACCCAAGTGGGCCCAGCTGGTGTTGTTAAATTTGGAACTCATATCTGGCTGAAACCCCTTCGTACACACTAACAGAGACATTGTCACAGACATGGTTTTACAGAGCTTTGCATTGTTACTAAGCACTTGAATTGATCAAGAGAGAATGTGATGCTGAGACAGACTGCTATTTTATTATGTATTATATAATGCTGATTGTACCTGTCAGTGAACAGCTGCCCTGATCAACTGTTAGCCTCATTGTGCTAAAGTTCCTCTTGCTACTGCTGCTACTGCAGAAATGCCTAAAGCCCAATGGCACCTAAATCCATGTTTTCATTCTAAGTAGGTTAATGTTGCTTTTGTGGGCTCACAATATACATGAGCAAAGTGTGTCCCAATGTATTTTGCCAATGATGCCTCTTTTGATGTAAACTGGATGGTCCTAATTTTGGGTAGCACTTACAAAAGCAGTAACCTCACCAATCACAAAACTAATGTGGCTCGTTCTGCCCACACAGCTTTAACAACACTGTGCTCCCCTGAGATCTCAGAGTTTAAGTCAGGGAAACTTCGTGAATGAAAGGTAACAACCAAGCGAAAGCTAACGCTCTGGCGAAAACAAGACAGAAGATGCATGAAAGTGCCTGAAATTTCTTCAAACATAAACAAACCTGCTACGATCACTACCTGACCCAAGCCTGCTGTTGTACGTGAAAAACTGACCCGAATCTGGCCCGAACTTCCCATATGTTGTTGGGTTGGGTATCAGACCTCTAGTCAATTGTGAAAAAGAAAATGTCTGTCAGAAAGTTGCCCCAACCCAACCAATCATCTAATATTAATATTATCTGAATAATTTTAATAATTATACTACAGTGTGATAAAACACATTTTTAAAAACCTTGATTTGTAATCTTGCTACCTTGTACACCTGTACATTGTTTTGTCTTTTTTTGGCCTTCCTCACACATTTCCATACCCCCTCCTCCCCCCCCAGCCCCTCGCCTGCCGCCAGACAAAAAGCCTGGTCACCCCTGGTTTAAGACAAGTGGAATGTTTCCCTTTAACTTGAGAGCATTTTGGTGACTTGGTGACACATGTACAAATCAGTACAAGCACAGGGTCGTGAGTGAGCAAGGTGCTGTCAGGATGGTCGTCATGGCGATGTGTGTGAGGCACGCGCTGTGTGTATGTGTGCAAACAAAGAGCTGACAGCGGCTCTCACACCAAGCCTGAACTAACAACAGCTCAAACACAGGCTGTGCATGTCCATGTGTGGTCAGTGGGTGCTTAGTAGCAGTTTGGATGTATGTAACCACATGTACAAACCTCACTTACAAAAAAGTCAGAACATTATGTGACACGCAAATATAAACAGAAAGCAGGGGTTAGTACATTTAGTTTGACCTGTAATAAACTGAAAACTGCACCAAAACCCACAAATTTGATGTTTTAAGGTTTCAAAAGTGTGCCCATTTAACAACACTAACAACAATCCAGTTTTGAAAGTGGAACGTTTTGCCATTCTTCTGTTATACAAGTCTTCAGCTGCTCCACCGAACGGGGCCTTCGTTATCCTATATGTCTTCAAAATGCACCACGTTTTCAGTGGGGCACAGGTCTGGAGTGCAGGCAGGCCAGTCCAGCACTTGCACTCTCTGATTGTGCAGCTATGCTGTTATAATGTGCAGAATGTTTCTTGGTGTGGTCATGTTGATATAAGAATGGACATCCCTGAAGAAGATGTCGTCTAGAAGGCAGCATATGTTGCTCCAAAATGTGCACATATACTTCCGCATTAATGGTGCCTTAACAGATGTGCACACAATGACAGAACCTGGTTTTTGGACTTGTTATTTTATTTAGAATATACTTCAATAAATTTACAATATTTCCCAAAATCTAAGTAGAATATACTGAAATACGTGTCAGTGTATAATATTATATTTTTATATTTTGGTATGGTCATGTTTATGTGTGTGTACAGCTCTGTATTTGCATTTAGCAGGGTATGTCACACCCATAGCGCCTGTCTATATGTCCAGCTGTGTGTGTGTGTGGGTGTGTGTGTGTGAGAGATTCTCACCACGTCCACCAGCTGTGATATCTTGAGGCCAAAGCGGACGGTGATGGTGTCGTTGGCGTGAAGCACAGGTCTCACCCACTTCTGATAACCTCTAAACACATTCCTCAACAGTGTGTCCTCCAACTCAGCCAGAGACATGAACTCCTCAGGAGCTAGAGAGACCGAGGGAGAGAGAGAGAGACACAGAGAGAGAGAGAGAGAGAGAGAATTTTATTCAGTGATGCACCGTATGGGTATATTTGAATGGATCAGAATCAGCATGCTTAAATGGTTCTTTGCATGGTGAAATGGTTCCTCCGACTGATGGAGATGTGTTGTACACAGTTCTATATAGAACCTTTTTAAAATTGGTTCTATATAGCACCAAAGTGTTCACTACGGAACCATATACAACAAACTGCCACCAATCTGAAGAAACGTAAGTTGTATATAGAACCATTTCATGCTTAAATGGTTCCTTACATGGCGAACTGTTTAAGCATGAAATGGTTCTATATATGGAGAATGTGTTGTATATGGTTCTGTACAGAAGCTTATTGAAAATGCTTCTAAGTAGCACCAAAAAGGGTTCTGCTGTTGTTACAGTGTCAAACAATAGAAGAACCCTTTTGGTTGCTATGCAGAACCATTTTCAGAAAGCTTCATTGTAGAACTCAAAGTTCTAAACAGAACCATTGCCTTTACTAAAGACGCTACTTGAAGAACCATCTTTTTAAGTGTGTTTCTGTACTTTTATTTGTGATAACCACAACTTTTTTCACAATAACGGTGTCACTCTGAGCACTGGCTGTTAAGTAATGACACGCTTTATGCTAAGTTCTACTGTAGTGCCTACAAAAACAGAGAATGAAGACATTAGATAACGTTTATACGATAATGTCTGACCTGCAGCTTTGGTCAGATACTGAAGAAGAGTGTGTTCTGAACTAGGACTGGGCAATATCTAAAATTAATTAGAACCATATTTTGCCATATGACAAAAAAAAATTAGCTTCACAAAAGTAGTGGAATGTATGGACAAAAAAGTAGATAAATGTTCCCCTCATTGCTACTTTCCAAAACATGACGGGTCAGTCCTTAGTGATTTCCTGAGTGTCCATTGGTCAGTTTCACACAAAATAAAGACGGACACACAAATCCACCGGCCTCAACTTCTCTTCATTGGCTCATATCTCTGGATGTGAGTGATGTATGATCTCGTGATGTGATGGAATGGAAAGGGCGACTCTACAGATTAAGGAACTGCTTGAACTGTATTTCTGCACTACATTATCGCAATGCTATTAATAGAAGCACTGAGAAACATCTACTTTGACATGCTAGCCTGTTCATAGACCCCAGAGGGTTGAAGCACATTTCATACAACGTGCAGCACTTTTTCACTTAGCTTTCTTCTTTATTTTGAACTGTTGTCCAAAAGCAATAGAACACTTGAAGTAGGGCTGGGCGATTAATTGAGAAGTAATCGAAACCGACATTCAGAACCGTAATCTTGTTGGTTATTTTGATTTTTTAAATTCTGTTAATCCTTTCCCCACTCTGTGTGTTCGTGTACTGTCCCCTTAAAACTTACTTCCACGCATGTAGTCATGACAGTCGTGACATGGAAGCTAAGGTTATGTTCACACAGTGGGTACAAGTGGCCCAAATCTGATTTTCTCACCAAATCCAGTTTTTTGTTTGGCTGTTCACATTATCTTTTAAATGTGATCCAAATGTGACATCAGTCTGAACAGATCAGCTCCTAAACCGACCCGCATACGCAAAAGAACAGCGCGTCACGTTGCTTCACGTGGCTCATCCAGTGGTAAACAATCATGACTGCTAACGAACACCAGTCGCTCTCTGAGCTTTCAGTTTCATCTTCACCAGCATCACAGGAGCCATCATGAAGCTTCACTGACTGACAGCTGGGCTCATCACCCAGAATGTGTTCGAGCTCACTGTAAGAAGGGCGCGGTCACTTCTTTCGTTCGTGTCGTTGGATTCTTTCAATTTTGCTTTCGTGCTGTTCTTTGATGCTGCAGCCTCGTTCTCCTACGGCTGCGTTCGGCCATTTCTTTTGAAATCTCTTCAAACACGAAGGTGTTTTGCATACGTCTCTTCTAATTTTGTAGAGAAATATCACCCCAAATGTTTATTAGGTCTCAGCAGTGCGGAATTATGACAAACGTCAAGTTGGATTGACGTAAAAGCCGCGTGAATTCTGATCTGGCTGTTGATTTACATTAAGATATGCGGAGCATATTTACAGTACAAACCTTGTCAGTGAACTAGGAGGGCAAAAAACAAACAAACAAACAAACAAACAAAAACAAAAACAAAATAATCGTTCATTAATCGTAATCGAGGTAAAACAATCAATTAATCGTGATATTGATTTGAGGCCATATCGCCCAGCACTAACTTGAAGTCTTGAGTTGTCATGAATAACATTGGGCCTCGTTCACCAACCGTTCTTAAGAGGAAATTTCTTCTGAAACCCACTTACGCAGTTTTCACAAAGATTCCGATATTCATCAGTGTTTTCTTATTTGGGATTGATTGTTATGTAAGAACAGAATTTACATAAACTCAAGAGCATAAAGGTGGGAACAATTCTGCGGTGTAAGAACACGTCATGAATCTGACGTCGACTTTATCTTAGGACCTTTCTCAAGCAAAATTTTAAGAGAAAAGATACTGGGAAGATACTGGTGAACGAGGCCCAGTGTGCTCTGCCTGCCCTGCAGACCTTATCCACAACCTCCAATCTGAGCCACCATGCAAAATTATTCCACTGAATCCATGAATATTCGATTGGATGAGGAGTCTGAGTACGGCGTGTGATTGGCCGCAACAGAGCCACACTCCCAGGAGGGCGAGACGAACACAGAGACATGGAGCGACAGCTGGTCCGGGCTCCTCTGAGCTTTCAGACTGACGCAACGATCACCGTGACGTGATCACCTCGGACAGGAGCGCCAGCGGGACGACATGAACACATCTCTCACACACACAGACACACTCACACAGATACACACACACACTCATATGACATCATCACATAGAAGATCGCACACAGAAGTTACTGTGGCTCCTCAAAACAAATCATGGAAAAGAAACAGACAGTTGGACAAAATAAGCCTGACGCTGAAGCGCAGATGAATGAAAATAATTAACTAAATGGTCTCAACTCATCTGAAAGGAACTACAGAGCATGTAGGACTTGAGCCAACCAGCAATGCTAAAGAAGACAAGGCCATTTTTCTTACAGTCTTCCACTGAAATACAACTGTAAGTACACCCAAACAAGCTGCACCATAAAAAAGGGTGACTTTCCATCATTAACTTAGTGGAAATTCTATAAAACATTCTCAGATTCTCGTTTTTTATTAATATTAAAGACCCTAGATGTAAAAACAGAAGAGGTCTGTGCAACGTAGTGCAAAATAACAGCAATAAAATCTAAATGTGAAAAATCAATTTCTTTTAATTAACACTATTTTAATTACCCAATTTAAAATTGTAATTTAAAAAACAGTAGTTATGAGTTTAAATGTGTGCTCATACTGAAGAAAGTGCTGCAAAGTAATCTCAGAAATCTCAGTCGATGGAATGTTGTTTTGTCTCAAATCATCAGGTCAACACTGGCCTAGACCACATATCAACTGTGCAACGCTTAAGTCCAGTACAGGCTTTACGTACGAAACGAATACGTCGATTTCAAACAATGTAACCGTCACTGCCACCATACTTATGTACCACCATACGTGTGCGTCCTTTACATTCGCATGGATGTTAAGCAATGAATCCACTAGAGGGCAGTCCAGAGTCAAAGTTTCAGATTTTTTCCCCAAAACTAGAGTTAAAAAAAATAAAAACACTTAAAAGCTACAGAGAAATGAGATTCCTAACAAACACCTGCAAGACCTGTAGACCACCAACACTGTCCCCATCAGATAAACACACTTAAAGCTTTCATCTTCAAGAGACTCGGATCATGAGCAGCAGAGAATTCAACCAACTTCTAAGACTGAACTTTGGAGGTTTGGAAAAATATCCCTGCAGATTTCTTTGAAAAACTTCTGAGCCCCTAAAGGGACATGATGTATTTTTTTTCTAGGTAATAATCTGGTGCTGACCACATAATATCTGCTGTGCACCAGATTCTTAGCTGAAAAACACCACCTTGTCCCTTCAGGCTCCATGAAACACTGAAATTAGTCTCCTGAAAAGAATGGAAGCTGTAATAAAGGCAAAGAGTGACACACTGAATACTGATAAACTGATATAATTTTTAGTCGTTTAGGTTCATGAAAAGAAGTGGAAGATTGTGGCTGTGTATGATAAGCTTCGAGGTTCTTTAACCACAAAGTGCACACACACACACACACACACACACAATCACTCACAACACACAAAACACACACACTTACACACAAACACACACACACACACACACACACACACACACACACACACACACACAATCACTCACAACACACAAAACACACACACACACAAAACACACACACACACACACACAATCACTCACAACACACTATACACACACACTTACACACAAACACACACACACACACACACACACAATCACTCACAACACACAAAACACACACACACAATCACAACACACAAAACACACACACTAACAACACACACACACACACAAAACACACACACACACACACAACACACACACATTAACAACACACACACAATCGCTCACAACGCACAAAACACATCCACACACAAAACACACACACACACAAAACACACACACACAAACTCACTCAACACACAAAATACACACTCACACATGCACACATTCACAATTCATACACACACACACACACACACACACACACACACACAGCAATCCTGTGAGAAAGTGTGTTGGTGAAATAGCGTCTGTTTAATTCTATAACAGGATAAATGGAGTCTTATCGCAGCATGACTGCATTCTCACTAAAACTAAACAGATTACTGCTGCACACTGTGTGTGCGTGTGTGTGTGAGTGTGTGTGTGAGTGTGTGTGTGAGTGAGTGTGTGTGTGTGTGTGTGTGAGTGTGTGTGTGAGTGAGTGTGTGTGTGAGTGAGTGTGTGTGTGTGTGAGTGTGTGTGTGTGTGTGTGTGTGTTTATTCTAAACA